TCTATTGATTGGCTCTCGTTCATGTTCATCATCCCATACTTGTGATGTCATAAATTATGATTTTTTCTTTTCAATCATCTTATCATGATCTCATTTTTTTTTTTTTTGATAAAGATGATCTCATATTTAGATTTTTGGTTTTGGGGTGAATTTAGTTTCTCATTTATTGGTTGCACTAGTCATTAAAAAGTTGTATAATGTGGCTTGTAAGTGTATAATGTGGCTTTAAAAAAAAAAAGTGTATATGCTAAATGAATCGATGATTGTGCATTTTACATTGAAATACTCTATATTGATGTTCCCTTTGTTCATAGAATATTGTAAAGACGTGTATACGCACTTACTAGTTGATTTAAGGTCATAGATGAATCGATGTTATTTTTTGTATTAAAAAAGAAGAATTTTGGTCATAAAGACCAGTTGTAAAATTTATGACAAGAAGAATATTCTGACACAGTAGACTGAGAAGGATAGACAGGATCGGTTCTTATGGAATTAATAGCATCAAAGTCAATAGTATTCAAAACTAGAAACAGATTGCTCAGCTTTCCTAATTTTCTTTTCCTCTAAATGGTAAAAAATACAAACATTTTTTTCTAGACTTTTCTATTTCGTATTTATTAGGTAGTACTAATAATACTTTATTACCTTTTCATTCCCAAAAATAAAATTGTAGTACAGCCAAGTAAATGCTGGCTAAGCATATTCTTAGCATCGAAATTTTCAAAATCTTCATATGGAAGTAAAGTTGTCAAAAGGACTTTTAACCTTTTTTTTGTTTTTTAATGTGTAACTTAATTCTACCGTTTACTATCTATCATTGGTTATGTTGATTTATCGACCGTCTAAACAATGAATGCTAATAATGTAGGTAGCGAGCTTTGGGGCGTATCTAATGTCGAGGAACATAGTAACAATGTCATTTGCACCAAGAGACACACATGAAGCTCAGGTCCAGTTCGCTCTCGAGAGAGGAGTCCCTGCGATTCTCGGAGTCTTAGCCTCTATTAGGCTCCCATTTCCGGCTCGAGCCTTCGACATTGCTCATTGCTCTCGATGTCTCATCCCTTGGGGCCAATACAGTAATGTTCACACTCACTCGCTTAGTCACATTCTCGTGTACTCTCTTTTTGTAGTCGCTTCTTATACATGTGTGTTTTGGACTGTTTGTTGTGAGCAGACGGGACGTATCTGATAGAGGTGGATAGGGTACTTAGACCGGGTGGATATTGGATTCTGTCTGGACCGCCGATTAACTGGCAGAGACATTGGAAGGGTTGGGAGAGAACCAGAGACGATCTCAGCTCTGAGCAGTCTCAGATCGAGAAGGTCGCTAGGAGCTTGTGTTGGAAGAAGTTGGTGCAGAGAGAGGATCTTGCGATTTGGAAAAAACCCACCAACCATATTCATTGTAAGCGCAATCGGATAGCTCTAAGACGCCCTCCGTTCTGCCACCGGACACAACCTGACCAGGCCTGGTAATAATCTCCAAAGTAGACAAGAGATGGTCACTAAAAAGGAAGATTTGTATTAGATTAGATGATGGTTTGCTCCGTTTTGGGTTCTTTTCAGGTACACTAAGCTTGAGACCTGTTTGACGCCGTTGCCGGAAGTAGCAGGATCTGAGATCAAAGAAGTAGCGGGTGGGAAGTTGGCGAGATGGCCTGAGAGATTGAACGCTATTCCTCCGAGGATCAAGAGTGGAAGCTTGGAAGGGATCACTGAGGATGACTTTGTCAGCAACACAGAGACATGGCAGAGAAGAGTGTCTTACTACAAGACTTTTGACCAGCAGCTTGCGGAGACCGGAAGATACAGAAACTTACTCGACATGAACGCTCATCTTGGGGGTTTCGCTTCAGCCTTAGCCGATGATCCTGTCTGGGTCATGAACGTTGTCCCCGTGGAGGCCAGTATTAACACCCTTGGAGTGATTTACGAGCGAGGGTTGATCGGAACATATCAAAACTGGTAAGGTTCCTAATAACTGAATAAGCATTTTTGTCTATGGGAAGGTTTCATTGATTCTTTTGATTCCTTTATCTCTTAAACAGGTGTGAAGCGATGTCAACTTACCCAAGGACGTACGATTTCATCCATGCCGACTCAGTGTTCAGTCTGTACAAAGACAGATGTGACATGGAAGATATCTTGTTAGAAATGGACAGGATTCTAAGACCAAAGGGAAGCGTGATCATCAGAGACGACATTGATGTGTTAACCAAAGTGAAGAAGATAACAGACGCGATGCAATGGGAAGGGAGAATAGGAGATCACGAGAACGGACCTCTTGAAAGGGAGAAGATTTTGTTTCTTGTGAAGGAGTACTGGACCGCGCCTGCGCTTGATCAGACAAACTGGGAATAAAACATAGAACTTGTAGCTCCATTCTTTTTTCTTAACATATTTTGTACACACTAAAACTCTTTTGAGGGAAATGAAGAAACACCCAATCAATTGTTTCAAACCGGAGATTCATTGTAAGCAAATGAACGAGAGAGTTTACAACAGAGTGTTTGACTATGCACTAGATCTATTAGCTACAAAAGAGCTTTCAAACTTACAGTACATTGAACTCAACTAGTTTACAGTAGCTCTAGAAACAATGCTTCTTGTTTGTTGGTGAGACTTAGTTCCTCAAAAGTTAAGGCACCGTCTTGAAGGCTGAAAGCACGTCGAGGATATGGTCTAACCTGTTTACCAACAATATTTACACCACTTATAAGGCTTGTATAGCAGCAGAAAGTAATAATGAACTAACACAGGAAATTATCGTTCGTCACTAGGCTTACCACTCTATATGTGCCTGGTTGAACTAATCCAGCAGTATCTATGAAGTCAAAAAGGTACTGCAATTCAACAAACAACTATTAGAGAAGCTTGAATACGAAATATCTTTACCACACTGATCACTTGAAACTCACAAACTTCACCTTAAGTTTGTCTGATTTGAGAAAGCGACGACCATGACGGCTGCTATCTGGCATTTTAACAAGTAGAGTGATGGCATCTTCATTTTCAACTGTTGGCTCGACAGGAAGCGCTGCCCTCTTCTTAGTGAAAGATCCCTCAGGTTCCTGCCACAAGTGAGGTACCCCAAACAGTTGTTAAAATAAGAAAAAACAATAAAATTGACAAACCAAAGGGACGTCAGCTCACTGTATTACAACCCCGAGTGAATACAAATGATGCCTAAGAGATGGATATCTAGTCATGAAATCAATTTCTACCACATTTCATTTCCACCAAAATGACTGAGCATGTAGAATTCGTTGATGGTTGAAAATCTAGTCATTTTTGTAGGCTGAGTTCTACTTATGGAAACATGGAAGATGAGTTGTTCACAGTCTGGATTATGTTCAATTCAACTTTCACCTTCCAACTAATGAATGCCTCACAAGAAAATCAGATTACCTCTCCGATGACCCTCTGATCGGGAGACTGTGACTCCATGTGAATCCCAGGCTGATTATTATGTGAAGTACTCTCTTGAGCTACTCCACTAAAGAGTGCCTTTTCCAGCATTATTGCCTCCTGTAGCTCTTTTGACGGAATGCCACCCCACTAGTAGCCGTCCAGGAACAGGAGGTGAAAACATGGTAACATGGTAAGAAGATGTTATTTTTTTCTTGACTTATTACTTTCACTGGTAAGAAAAATCAAACTTTTTTCGAATAACTACCTCTTCAGGATAAGAACCTACAACATTCTGGAGATCATGTCCTTGCTGAGAGCTCGTATCAATAGGCTGCTTTTGTTTCATGTCTTCACGTTTGTCTTGCATTGAAGAGCTCCCAGGCTTCAAATACAAGGTTTTAGTTAGCAAGATAGCTTAAGGAGTTTAAACACTTTAAATCAAGGAGAACTTAATAAAATGTGGTTAACTTAGTATATAACATGGATGCCCGGCAAATAAATAGATGACAACTGTAAAGGAAACATCCCAAACTAAACCAATGAGCATGCATGTATATTATTCGATAGCTTATGAGCCAGAAGGCTAGAAGATTGAGGCTTATTAGAGGAGGGGAGAAATTCAGTTTCACACCTTATATCTGCTACTTTCATTTGTATTAGATTGACATGGGCCGTGAGGCTCCACAGAGTGAGGCATAAGTTCAGCTAGTTGCTCTCGCATTGCATGCTCTTGCTCTTCCATCTGAAAGCCATTTATGCTAAGGTGAGAAATCCCTTACATCGACAGGTACATAGCAGATGCAATATCTATCAAAATACCTCTAAGGACATCGAAATTGCACGAGCAATGTCCTCATCTTCCCGATTAATAACCGCTCTTGGAGATAAAACGCTAGATGGATCCTGCATCAATAACAAAAAAAGAAAAGAAAACCATGTAAGGCTCATGCCAAATAGGAGCGAAACAGGGTGAAGCTAGAATACTATACATTATCCAAACTATGTCCTGTGTGACGACCCTCTTGAAAATCCTTCTTCGAAGCCTCAATGGCAGCTCTGATCATTTCTTCTTCTGCATCGTTGCTATAGACAGGTGACTCAGCATCCCTATGTGTTCCACCATGGACCTGGGATCCGTAGCTTGGTGAATGTCTAGCATCTCCAAGTCCAGGAGGACGGAGCTGATCATTCCCCCAAGTAGAGTGAGCAGGGAACCCTGTGACTTCTCCTGTGTGAGATGATGGAGGGGGAATTCCAGAATTAGCAGAGCCACTGAGCTGCCTAAGGATATTTCTTCTGTAATTGGGATCAAGAAGCAACGACGGTCTAAACGACCGAGCAGCCGAGAGAAGAGATGGAAGTCCGCCTGGGACTGGCCTAGTCTCACTACCACGAACCTGATTGCTATCTTCCACAACATTGTATTCTGAACGACTATCTAAGTTTGGATCAAGACTGTACAAAACAACAAAAACAAAGAGCTTATAGGACCATCAAGAACAAGAAAATCAAACAAGAGAAACTCAAAAAAACCTCTGAAAAAGAGAAACATACATGCTTCTTTCCACATCCCTGAAGTGGCCATTGATGGCTTCAGTGAGGTTATTGCCATGTTCCTGGTCAAAATGTTACAGAAATTTAACTTCTGGTAGTGCAAGAACGATTTCGATGATGCATGTGAATTAGCAGAAAATCTAAAACCCTAATCCTCCAAATTCCATTACATTTCAAATCTATCAGCTACATTTTACACATTGGATCGCAGAATTAAACCATATCCTCTCGAAGATTGGCCGAAACCAAAATCAATCTTGGGAAAAAAGCATCCGTACTCGATTGCAATTCAAAATTCTCTCGGAGAGGTTTTGACGCAGAAAAGAGAACAAAACGAACCTCAAGTCTCTGAATCGCGAGTGACTCGGAAGCGCCAGTGATGCTCATGTAAGAATCGATGGCGTCTCTCGCTGGTCTCACCATCTCCGCCGGAAAATTCGGTGGCTGTGTAAGTCGGAGAATAACAAACTCGCCGAGAATAATGGAAGCAGCGGCGTTTTGTATTTATTTTGATAAAGCAAAAATTGGTTCGACTGATTCGAACCGACGCTGATGAGTCTACACATAAGTGACGTAATCAATAAATTATAATAATTGTTTATTTATTATAAATAAAATGATCTTTTTGGTGAATAACAAAAAAAAAATTAAAAAATTAAGAAAAATGAGATATATAGCAAATTTTAGGTCATTGCATTTGGAGTTTTTTGTTATATTTTTGGCAAATTTTTCCTAAATAAAAAGATTGGTTGATTTTTTTTTTGTTGGTTTGATAGTTTATTTTTGGGAAAATTTGTGAAAAATACAACAAAAAATTATAATTTGAAAACCAACAAAAAATCTCAAATCCAATGGTTTACAATTTGTCATATAACCTTATTTTTCTAATTTTTCAAATTTTTTTTTTTTGGTTATTCACCAAAATGATCC